AAAACATATTCCTAAATGTTTATGCTTCCATCTATTGCAAATTGCCTTGAACATCCTTCTTTAGGAATCAGTCCACAAGTGATATTATAATATACAAAATAATAATGCTATAAACGTTAAAGTTACAGTCCACATGTCCTCAGCATGAGCAGCTTGATGACCTACAGTAGTGTATACATGAGTACAATTGAGTGACATCTGCTCTTCTCCAGTGTTCATTTAGATGGACATCACAGCGTATCAGCTGTCATTGTCAAACTTAATTAGAGTGGAGGACATTAAGCAGGGACAGAAACAAGAGGGGAGGTCGAACAGGGAGAGGAAAATGGGAGAAAAAAAGGTAGAAGACTTAAGAAGGGAAATGAGGAGTAAGTGAAGGTGAAAGGAGGATCTGGTGTCATGAGATAAAAAATGAAGCTGGTACCAAGTCTAATTGAAAACCCACTGGACATCACTCTTTAACTTCAGTAGACACAATCAAAGTTGGGAATCACATGAAAGAGAGTTGATTTCCCACAGGGTTAACTTCATTCATCTCATAATGTTCCTACAACGTATCTGGCAGGGCCACGTAAACTCTTTTGATCTACGCAAAAATATATGAAATACCACACATGACATATTTTCTACTCTAGTACAACCTTACAATGAATTTGCCTCCTTCTTCACTGACAACATTCAGATAATCAGACAAGCAGTCAGTGCCTCTGTATCAGGTACAGCAAATGTTTTGGCCCTGTGTCCACCTAAACTCAATTCAAACACCATGACACAATTCCATCAGATTAATGATAAAAACCTAGAGGACATTATACAACATCTGAAATCCTCCTCCTGCTGCCTTGATATTATTCCAACAGGATTTTTCAAAAATGTTTTTCATTGCATGGCCTCAGATCTACTTCATATAGTAAACAAGTCTCTTCACTAAGGTGTTTTTCCACAGGCCCTAAAAACGGCAGTCATAAAACCGCTCTTAAAAAAAGAATAATCTAGATGCTTCAGTAATGAACAATTACAGGCCCATATCAAACCTCCCATTTCTAGGTAAAATCATTGAAAAAGTAGTTTTTCAACAGTTGAGTAATTTCTTGCATTTAAATAACTGTTTGGATGTGTTCCAGTCAGGCTTTCGTCCAAACCACAGCACTGAGACTGCTCTTGTAAAGGTCTTCAATGACATCCACTTAAACACAGACAGTGGCAGAACTTCAGTGTTAGTATTATTAGATCTCAGTGCTGCGTTTGACACTGTTGACCACAACATATTACTAGACCGACTGAAAAACCGGGTGGGACTTTCATCAACAGTTATAAATTGGTTTGAATCCTACTTCAAGGACAGAAACAACTTTGTTTCTATAGGTACATACACATCTGAGTTGACAAATATGACATGTGGGGTTCCTCAAGGCTCCATCTTGGGGCCTCTTCTCTTTAACATCTACATGCTACCACTGGCTCAGATAATGAAAAACAACAAAATAAGTTGCCATAGCTATGCGGATGACACCCAAATTTACATAACCATTTCACCAGGAGACTATGCTCCAATTCAAACACTGAGTAAGTGCATTGAACAAATCAATGACTGGATGTGTCAGAACGTTCTCCAATTAAACAAAGATAAAACTGAGGTAATGGTTTTTGGAGCCAAGGCAGAACGTATAAAAGTTAGCGCTGAGCTTCAGTCTGCAATGTTCAAAACAACAGATAAAGCCAGAAATCTAGGTGTAGTCATAGACTCTGACCTGAGTTTCAACAGTCACATTAAAACAGTTACTAAATCAGCCTACTATCACCTAAAGAACATATCTAGTATTAAAAGACTAATGTCACAGCAGGATTTGGAAAAACGTGTCCATGCTTGCATCTTCAGTAGACTGGACTACTGTAATGGTGTCTTTACAGGTCTCACTAAAAAATCTATTAGAAAGCTGCAGCTAATTCAGAACGCCGCTGCTCGAGTCCTCACTAACACTAAGAAAGTGGATCACATCACTCCAGTTCTGAAGTCTTTACACTGGCTTCCTGTGTGTCAAAGAATTGATTTCAAAATACTGCTGCAGGTTTATAAAGCATTGAATGGTTTATGCCCAAAATACATTTCTGACCTCCTGCTAAATTATGAACCATCCAGAACTCTCAGAGTCAGAACTAAGCATGGTAAAGCAGCGTTCAGTTATTATGCTCCAAATATCTGGAACAAACTCCCAGAAACCTGCCGGTCCGCTGCAACTCTTACTACTTTTAAGTCCAGGCTGAAGACTTTTCTTTTTGCCGCTGCTTTTAATTGATATATTCATATCCTAAACTGCACTGTAACTTTTATTATCTTTGCTTTTTATCTTTGCTTTTAAATTAGTGTTTTTAAATGTCATTTTACACAATGAGTGTTTCTAGATATCATTGTATAATATGTTTCTTAATGCTCTTAATGTCTTTCATTTTTGTAAAGCACTTTGTATTGCCTTGTGTTGAAAGGTGCTATATAAATAAACTTGCCTTGCCTTGCCTTGCAAAGGTCCCTGCATGAAGCCAGAGATGAGCAAACAGATAGATATAATTGTCTTTCGAGTGGGGAGAACTCTTGCAGATTGGTCTCAAATCTAATCCACTACCCGGCCAATCAACTCATGAAGGGGCTTCCGAAAGCAAACAACATATTGAGTCAATATGTCGAGTCAGAGTTAAAAAAACTACTTGAAATGTACTGTATGTAAACTCACTGTCTGCCATTAAACAACAGTTCTCCTTTGCTTCTTTCTGTATTTATTACTTATCTATTTATTATTTTGCAACAAACTTCTTTAATGCGAGGAAGGCTGCCACATTTGAGTCAATCATTACTATACATTTAAAGAATTACACATGCATAATAAAATATCACATTATAAAGACTGCATGGGAAATGAAGCAGTTTGCATCTGTTGAATAAAAGTGTTGTTTGGTGTGCTTTAGTGCTGTTTTACGAAGGTAATTTGACATACAGAATGTTCATTAGTAACCAGCATTTACTTATAAATTGAGGGGGTACAAAAGTTCACATTTCCTCTATAAAAACCTCTGATAAGTATTTATTATATTATCTTCTGTGAGAAAGACCTATTCCCCTTCAGGTGGTACAGAACACGAGCTTTAGCTGAGCTTTCAGGATTTACATTTAAACAATTAACCCTCTCTGAGAAAAAGAAAGACGTGCGATAATGCTCGAGGCTTAATTCAATAATACCGGCTGGTTGCTGAACATGACTGTCACATGGCTGAGGGAGGTTTCCACTCCTCATGAAACAAATTCAATTAGCTGCTCCGAGGAACTTTCTATCTGGTGCTGACTGTCTTGCATCAGTCATTTGTTTCACACAATCTTTCCCTTAAAGTTTGTAACAGTTCATGTTTCCTATCCAAGTAAAAACAATGAACTTCTCCATTGTGTGTACACCAGCTAAAGGCTATGATAGTGATGTTATTCATTTTTAGATTGCAGCTTAACATAATGTCAAGAAAGATTTCAGTTCACAATTGAGTCGATGATATCAGGCGGCCTCCAGCCAAAACAAATCACATCTTACTGCAGCGCTCCTCTGTTAAATCTGAGGGGAAACACTGGGTCAGATATCTTAAAATAAGCAAAACATCTCCTCAAAAATAGTCTTATTTGAGAGGTTTATTGAACACATTTAAATGACTTATTCTGTGTCGTGGCGGTGACATCAGATCTTTGCTAATGGGACTAATGAAAATTCTACCTTAATGCATCATTAGTAACCTGTGACTGGTTTTCCATGATCTGTTATGCATTATCCAGCCAGCCATGTGAACAGGAGATTTTTAAAAGGCAAAACAAATAGGCTACGCTTGATTAATTTTACAGTACCGAGTTCAGGCAATCTATCTAATGATAAACTGGAGGGAAAGGTTATTTAAAGAAGTAAAAAGAGAATCTGAGCTGTACTTAGCTCCTAAAACTGTTTATAATATTGCTTTCAAGATTTAAGAGGTATGGGGGTAGGGTATAGTGACTTAGGAAAGAGTATATCATTCCTCAAATATTTGATAATATTCTGATGTAGATTTGTCTTATTTCTACTTGGCTCTTATATGTATTACTGTTAGCGTGCACAACAAACGGTACTATAGGTTTCTCTAGATTTTATTGAATTTGTCATGTCTTTTTTTCTCTGTATTTTGCAAACTCAGTTGATGCATCTTTTCCAAAGGTTTAAAGCATCAAGGTGAAGAGCTACATCTGGCAGTTGGCTGCGCAATTACATTATTGTCAGCAGAATATTCATAATACACCCACATCATCGGGAACGCTTCGCCCACAACGGCGGTGCATCAACAGTCAGAATGCTAACTGGTTGTTTAATGCCATTGTAAACTAAATCCTGGTGAATAACAACATTATTCTGACAATATCCCCCAAAACCAGAGGCCATAGCTTGCTATAGAGAGCTGTTTTGAAAAACACATGTCGGACTGAGGTTGAAAGAAAACTCTGCTTGTACTAGTATCAAAAACATCCACTGCTTCGAGCATTTTATGTCTGGTTTTCAAAGCACAAATCTTACAATTGCGTGGAAAGGGTAGGGGTTATCAGAAATATTTCAAACACATCAACATCAAAGTCTCACTGAGGTAAAGTAAGGAATAGAGACGTCTTCCTAGGCTATTGTGAATCCAAACCATAATGTTCTACAAATATAAGCATAGGGTATTACAAAAAAGAGGTTGTCTGAAAGGCACATGAATACAGAGACAAACAGTATGGGAAAATATACAGAGCGCCTACACACTACCAACTATACTAGGTCATATCATGTGGGGATACAGAAACAGACTGAGAGTGTTTGCAGTGAAAACATCACCCCATTCCAGCAGGAATACTGAGCGACCAATAAAGAAAATGGGAAAACATGGACAGACTGTGTTTGTGTTTGTACGTGTGTGTGCGCACTGTAATCAGCAGTTAGTCATGATGTCATTGTGCCTCTCACCATGTGATGAGGCCGGCGGTGACAGCGGACCAGGTGACGCAGCAGGAGTTGGGCTTCTTGCTCTCCTCCTCTTCGTCTTTGTGGCAGCAGCACAAACAGCTCAGGTAGATGGCGAGACACAGCAGGTTGAGGCCGAGCCCCGCAGCCGCCACGCAGGCCAGGAATATGAGAGACTGCAGAGAGGAGGAGAGAGAAAACAGGGAATGAGTGAAGGGAAATATAAGGTCACTTGTTTCTTCTAAACGTCTGAGTCCACTTAAGTTTGTTGTAACTTGTGCTGAACAGGAGATTCACTTAAGCTATTTTGTTCATAAATATATATGTTGCACGTTTAATTACAAGTAAACTCAATGTTCTTATATAAACCTTATTATAAGTACATTTGATTATATTCGATTTAATTTTCAAGCAACTAACTAAAAGTCCTAAAAGTTGAGTGCAGGGAAATGTCTATAATATATAGGGGTAATAAATATGATTAAAAAGGCCCTATTTTTGGGTTTTCCCTTAGTGTGTTATATAGGTTTTTGTGCATGTAAATGGACGACAACGGCTTCAACACCAAAGTTCCCTTCAGAAGGAGTTTCTCTCCCACACAACCCCCCTCCCCCCCTGTCTATAAAGCCTCGATTGAAATCCTTTGATTACCTCCATGAGATAATGAGATCACTACATAACACTTGCGCTTCTATTGGCTAAGGCCCTAGCCACACGGTGACTAAAAGGGGTCATATCCGCTACAGTTCTCTATCTTATAGACGGTTCAGCCACACGAGGCCGACAGGGAAACGCGGATAACGATAACGATAACGATAACGATAACGGGTCCCAAGGTGGGTAGATCTACGGACGCAACGCTCTGGGGGGCCAAACGGCTCCATGATTACGCCCTATATGATCATTTCCTGATAACAAAAATACTGACGGGCTGTCAGGAGAGGGGGAAGAAAAATATATTATTTTTATATTGTTATATAGAGTCGTTATTCATTTGTTTTAAAGCTCAATAAATAACAAAGAAGACCTTTGACCGGCACTTTTCAAATTTTGTCCGGAAGATTTCAACTTTAACGTACATGTTGACCGGCGAAAAAGAAGTTCTAACGGAAACTCTGCCGCACGGTTCCCTCGTCCCTTGGAAGAGGCTGAGAGGTGGGTGTTTTTCATCTGCTGGTGGACTACCGGGGAGATTTACAGCAGGAGCACACGCTTGCCTCGGGGAGGGAGAAAAAGAGCCAGAGCCCTGCCTCTCCCCACCTCTGCTGCTAAATCCACGCGGAGAATAAACAGAAGGGCAACCATGGCAACCATGCTCGGGAAGTCTTCTTCGCTGCTTTTGGTGTATTTTGTGGCGGAAGTACAGCGCTACTTACAGGCCCGGCATATGTACTACAGCGTCTCCAGCGGGTCGAGCGGTCTCGTGTGGAAGGACACGTTTCTGGTGTCTATTGCGTGTGGATGGAAGACTTTTTTGATATCGAATTCGGTTCGTTTTCGTTTCCGTGTGGCTAGGGCCTAAAGCTCTAACACATTGTCATAGGCTAAGGGGTGGGACAACTCTGTGGTTGACCAATCGCAAGAGAGCTGACCAGTTAACCAATCAGAGCAGACTGGGCTCTGGTTTCAGACAGAGGGTGAAAAGAGGTGCTGCAGCACAGGCAGTATGAGAACAATTAAGACCTTTTTGAACATTAAAGCTATAAACATGTCACAGTAGAGACACTAAATACAAATATGAACCTCAAAATTAGCATAATAGGGCCCCTTAAAGTAATGTGTGACTTTAATCCTGTTCTCCCACAATCAGATAAGCCAACTAACAGATAGAAACAGCAACTAATGTCCTTTAAGGTGAAATGACTGATTTTGTCAATGGAGGCTTTTTGCGAGAGCAACAAAAACAAAAAGTGGTTAAAATGTTCTAAATACAACATACACTGATTTTTAGTTTAGCAGCCTCTGTCCACATCAGAGCATTGCTTACCTCCAGTCTGTTTGTCTAAACTGATACAAAACACTGACTATAAATATGTGTATCTTATTCAACCCTACTTCAAAGGATCTGAACTATTGCTTTGAGTAAAAAGCTGTAAAAATAGTAACATGCAGTCATACTAAAAGAACAGTAAAAGTATCGTCAGCAAAATGAATTGACATATCAAAGGGAATTAAAGTTTCACAAAAATGCTCTTACTCTTAAAAACGTTTAACTTTGAAAGTCAAAACGACTAGAAAATCAGCTAAATCCCGCCCTCTGTTAAATATCCCAGTAACATTATGTCATGATTCCACAACGTTCTGACTTCAAACAAACATTTTCAAACAAACGTCCACATTAGCTCTGATTAGTATGGTAAAAAGACACCAAAGAAAACGTATAAATATGTCTTCATCTGCCCCAGAAACAAAACCAACTGCATTCTGGGAGCTTGTTATCCTCTCTGTCTCCAGCTGGAGAGCAGACACCTCCTCATACATCTCTGCATCTACTTCTGTGCCTCTCATCCTTCCTTGAGCCCCCGTACCACCTTCTGCATGAGATGAGTGTCGTGACGAAAATAGCAACAAGCCTGTCCTAACAGCCTCAAATGAATTCTGCATCCATCTGTCAGACGGTGGGTTTATTCAAGCTCAGTCCCTCTTCAAACCCCCCCCCCTCCCCGCCCCTTTTACTCTTCCTTTAGTTTGTCTGAAATCTTTTGGTGCCGAGCCATCTGCTTTCATGCTGTGATACTGTGTGTCCTGCAAGTCAAGTAGTGGGATTCAAATCCAAAAATGGAAGGGTTTATGTCAACGACTGCTATAAAAGAGGCAAGTAAGAGGAAAACTGAATAATCCTTCCCAAGCCTCAAAACAGCTGCTTACGCCATCTGACAAAGTCCCTCTGATTGATATTTATAGATATCAAGATAATGTGTGTTCTTTTGCTCCCTTTCCCTTTAAACAATCTTTCTCTCCCTGGCTCCATCTGTTGGGGTGCAGTGCCTCATCTTGTCCCATTTCACGGCTACATGCCTTTTTAAGTAGATGGAAAAAAAGAGGAAAATGCAGAAGCAGATTCAAAGGAAGGATTTGGCTCCAGTCATTGACCTTTCAACTTTCTCATATTCTCCAGTGCGCCATAAAACAGGTGCGGAGATTCGTGGAAATGTAGCGCCGCGGTTTAAGAGAGGGGATTGTAAAATGTGTTAATGGGTGCGCTCAGACAGATGGATGGCAGTGTGCACCAAGGTGAGACAAAGAGATGCTCCTCATCCGGTCCTGTGGGCGGGGTGGGGGCTAAGAGTGATGGGAGTTGGTGTAAACTGGGTGTAATTGAGGTGAACACGATAAATGAGATGGAGAATGTGGGGCTCAGGTGGATCATTTGAACGTGGAAGGAGGGGGAGAGACAGACTAAGATTGTTTCCACAGAGGAGACAAAGGGGGAAACTCCTGCTGTACGCACACACACAGGGCCACCCAGACGCTCTAATCGGCATGGTAACGTGCAGGTTAGTTGGTTCCCTTGCGTAAGCGAGAGAGGACGAGTGAAAGGGCGAATTATCTCAGCCTGATTGAAATAAGCAGCATGTGACGGGCCTGTCTTGTGATTCCCTCTGCAACCAGGGCAATGTAGAGAAAAGAGGGAATGAATGAATTGGGAGAGGAAAACTATTGAAAGGAAAACACTTTATTAAGCTTTAAATTATCTTTTACTTAGGGGATTACATTTCAGGTTTCACATTTGTATTTTCTGCCTCTACTGTGACATGACTCCATGCTTTAATGTTCGAAAAGCTCTTTATTTTTCTCATACTGCCTGTGCTGCAGCACCTCTCTTCACCCTCTGTCTGAAACCAGAGCCCAGTCTGCTCTGATTGGTTAGCTGGCCGGCTCTGTTGTGATTGGTCAAACGCTAAGAGATGTCCAGCCCCTCAGCCTATCACAGACAATTTGTTGGATAACTATAGCCAATAGAAGCGCAAGTGTTACGTAGTGATGTCACTATGTCACAGAAGTGTTACCGAAGTAAGCAAAGGACTACAATCGGGGCATTTTAGGCAGGGGGGGGATTGTGGGGCGAGGGAACTTTGAGACTTTGCAGACCATTTGCATGGATAAAAAACGATATAACACACTACAGGAAGGGGAAAACCACAAAAGGCATAATAGGGCCCCTTTAAAGACGTTAGACCCACGGTGTTTTAAACATGCACTGGGCTTTGGAAGGAGCTCATAAATGTATTATTTTCAGGGGAAATATTTATTCCAAGGTAGCTTTTAAAGCAAGAACAACACTCCTTTTTTTCTGTCCATCACTCTTTCTCTCTCTATCTCTACTGTCCTTTCTTCTCAGTAGTAGGGCGCAACAATAATGGCTTCTGAATTATGTAGCACATCCATTCAGAGGAAGGATGCACACAGAAACTGTACCTGCACACACACTGAAAAAGCCCATCCTTGAAACCATCTCTTCCCAAGTGCTCAAACCTTCCATTAAGTTTAAAAACACCATTTATCTTTTACTGACTGGAGTGTGCACACATTCGCTCCTTGGTTAAGAATCAAATTGGAAGCTCCGACCACTTAACTGCTACCTAAATTAGGTCTGAGTAGTTCCCCCTTGTAAAAGCAGACTCGATATGTTAACACCCTTCTCCTTACTTACTCATTCCTAACTCAAGAGGCCCACTCGGCTGTCTTCTCCGTTTTGTTTCCTCTCAATTGTCCCAACAGACAGGGGGTGGGGCGAGCACGAGGCCTGAGGCGATCACACAAGGAGAGAAAGGAAGGGAGATCTAGCTGAGCGGAAAGACAATCCCTGAGATGAGGATGTGGAGAAAGTAGATAAATGAGAAAAAAATTGTAATAGGAATAGAGTGATGGATGAAAATGTAAGGAAATGAAAGCAGTGAGACAGCAGGATGTGGATGAGGAAGACTGAAGACACAAGAAGGAGATAAAGAGTGACAAAGTGTGTCGGCCCATGACGGGAAGACAAAGATTCCTCATCCACATGGCTACCTCAGACTTCTTACCCCTCAGTGCACGGCCCAGTTTCCTATTACAAATCCATTGTAGATGGCTTTCCCCTGAGGTTGTATTGTTGCATACCACTTCTTCCCCTAAAATAGTGGGCCAACCTATGAATATCATTGTTGGATGTACAAAAATAAACGCACAAGCGCAT